AAGTATTATGATGTTGTGAAAAAAATGAAACGAAAAAAAACGACATTAGACCCTTGAAAAATAGAAAAAAAAAAAAAACCCCGTAGGTAATCCGTAGGTAAATACCTACGGATAACTACGGATAACCTTTATCCGTAGGTATTTTACCTACGGATTGCCTACGATTTTTTTTATTTTCTAATTTTTAAGGGAAAATATTGGTTTTTCAATTTCATTTTTTTCACAACTTCATTATTGTTTGATTTCTTTGTTTTCACCGACTTATACATAACATAAACTTACATACAAAGGTATACATATACTAATAGTACTAATAATAATAATTATTATTATAAACATAATGACAATATATAATAATCGTAACGAATGTGTTTTACACACAAACAAAAAAACAACGTTTAACACATCAATAAGGTAAAATAATATACATTTAATGTATGAATAATGAAAAATGATGATAATCAGGGGAAATATGTATATTTGTATAAGTAAATGTATGTATGTATTTATTTATGTATGTATGTATGTGAGTATATGTATATATATTTATGTATGTGTATGAGTGTATATGTGTGCTTATGGATATGTATCTGTGTATATATGTGTATGTGTGTATTTGAGTATGTACGTGTATGTGTATGCATATGTGTATGTGTATCTATGTGTATGCACGGTTTTATGTACATTTATATGATGTATAACTTTGTGAAAACAAATCAATAAAAGTATAATGATGTTGTGAAAAAAATGAAACGAAAAAAAAGACATTAGACCCTTGAAAAATAGAAAATAAAAAAAACTCGTTGGTAATCCGTAGGTAAATAACTACGGATTGCCTACGGAGAACCTTTATCCGTAGGCAATCCGTAGGTATTTTACCTACGGATTGCTTACGGTTTTGGATATGTATGTGTGTATATACACTATATTAATATTTATACACTATATTAATTATATTGAAAAAAAACATAGCTGATAATCTTCAAATTATATTTAATTATAATATAATACATCAATTTTTCAATTTGTTGATACCTACAAAATTCCTACATTTCCTTATACCTACAGAATTGCTACGCCCTCCTAAAACCCAAATTCCCGAGATTGCTCGTCGATCAAAATTACCCAAACAAAACCCTTGTTTACATCGGCGATTTCCGAAGCCTGCTGCAGCAAGCATCCGCCGGTGATTTTCGACTGATTTCAGGTAACCAATTCCAATTGGACTTTTGTGATTTCCGAACTCTGATTTCAGCGCACATCGGCAACCCACATTGACCAAAACGGTTGCAGGTTTTCCTCCAACATCGATGTCGCACACCACCTCCTAAGCTGCCCCGTACCACCACCGTCGCTGTACCATACTACCACTGTCGCTGCCCCATACCACCATTAGCGACACCCCATGTATGTATGTATGTCGATATCAGTTTGCTCACATTTCACAAATTTTGCCCCTGGAGAATCAATTTCAGTTTCTGTGATTTCAATTTTCTTTGTCAGCTATGCTTTCCATACTTGTAACTTGTCCATTGCAGGAGATTTCACAAATTTAGACCTAGAGAACTTGAATCATCAGTCTGCAGCAGTTCTGCATCAATACTTGTAACTTGTCCATGTGTAGAGCTCAAGTTAAGCTCCAAATTAGATACCCTTTCCTCTTCTGAATTCTGTGACCCTGTCCATATTTCTCTTCTTCGCGATTTAGAACTCATCAAGATCTGTAATGGAAGTATTCAACTATTTGGGATGGAATTTTCCTGTTCTCAATTTGCTACTTAGCTTATCTAGATGTTATTATTTCCCATCCGGTGTTACTTTTTCTGGATTTGGAATTTTACCCAAATGCAATCGTTGAAATTTTGCCTATTTGGACGATTTTACCCTTGATGTTTAGCTTTGAAAATGTGTTACTTTTTCTGGATTTGGTAATGTTTGCCTTAGTTTTGGTTGTTTGGCTTTGAAAATGTATCGCCCTTGTAAATCTTTGAAATTTTGCCTATTTGGACTATTTTACCCTTGATGCTCTAGCCCTTTCTAATAAATGTGTATTAGTATATACTTTATATTGTCAATTTGAAGTGTTGGAGTTTGGTGTTAAAGATCATCACTAGCCCAATAGAACAAATATTATCTAGAAGACTTTAGCTTGTTCTAGAACGCTCTAGAAGATTCTAGAACATTATGGAAGACTATGGAAGACTCCGGAATATACCGGAAGAGTCTAGAATACTCTAGAACGACATGGAAGACCCTGGAAGGTTATGGATCATTCTAGAAGACACTGGAGCAACCTAGACATCTCCAGAACATGGTAGAATATTCTAGAAACATATGGAAGCATATAGAGTATGTTAGATAGTTCTAGAGTTATCTAGTAGGTAGTAAGTGTATACTAGTATCTAGAACCTTCCTAAGAGGCCTATAAATAGGTGTGGAGCTCATTTGCTCCAAACCATCCAAGAAAGCCTCAAAAAGAGCAAAGTGTGTAGTAGTCTCACAAAGTGTAAGGTCTTCTTAAGTGTCTTAATAAAAGTCTTTTTGTTTCCCATACAAAGAGTCGTGTTCAACAATCTGGTATCAGAGCAAAGTTTCTTGATAGTGAGAACGAGTGATTCTCATTGTATCGTGAGTAGTTTGTGACTCTGCAAGTTTAGTGTCGAAACTAGCTTGTTTGGTATTACCGAGGTACTGCCAACACGATGGGTGATCTCCAAGTCGTCGGAGGAATCAAGAAACTCAACAACAACAACTACAAAACATGGGAAACATGTATGAAGTCCTACTTACAAGGACAAGATCTATGGGAGGTCGTTGGCGGAAGCGAAACCACGCCTCCGGAGGAAGATGTTAATGGCGCTCTACGCAAATGGAAAATCAAAGCAGGCAAAGCAATGTTTGCCTTGAAGACCACAATCGAAGAAGAGATGTTTGAGCATATTCGGGACGAGAACACACCGAAAGAAGCTTGGGACACGTTTGTGACGCTTTTCTCAAAGAAGAATGATACAAGACTACAACTTTTGGAGAACGAGCTATTATCAATCTCACAACGTGACATGACGATTGCTCAATATTTCCACAAGGTCAAGTCGATATGTCGGGAGATTACTGAACTAGATCCGCAATCCGTCATTACAGAAGCTCGAATAAAGAGGATCATCATCCATGGACTGATGCCGGAATATAGAAGCTTCGTTACTGCTGTACAAGGATGGCCCGTTCAACCATCACTTGTAGAGTTTGAGAATTTGTTGGCCAGCCAAGAAGCTATGGCTAAGCAAATGGGAGGCATCACGCTGAAGATTGAAGAAGAAGCACTCTACACAAGTAAAAGTCGGAGGAATTTCAAGCCACCTTCTAAAGAAGGATACAAAAATTCTGACAAAGGGAAGAGTCAGCCAGGAACCTCACAACCATGGAGATCTCAAAAGATCGACAATAAGAGTTCTCGGGGGAGGAGGTTCAAAGGCTACTGCAACAATTGTGGAAAGTGGGGCCACATGTCCAAAGATTGTTGGTCAAAGAAAAAGTCTGTGGAAAGCAATGTCGTAACTTCCAAAAAGGAAATAGAGGATGAATGGGATGCTGAGGCATTATGCGCCATAGAAGAAAACGAGTTGGCGCTCATGGCAATGATGGGAGATCGTATCAACTATGAGAATGACTGGATCATTGATTCATGATGCTCCAATCACATGACTGGTGATCAGAACAAACTACAAGATGTGAAGGAGTACAAAGGGAGTCGCATGGTACTTACAGCCAACAATGCACGACTTCCAATTGCTCAGATTGGCAAAACAACGATCATGCCTGGTAATAAATCTGACATGGTGTCACTACATAATGTCTATCACGTGCCAGGTATGAAGAAGAACTTGTTATCGGTATCGCAACTAACATCATCAGGAAACTACGTCTTGTTTGGCCCACAAGATGTGAAGGTCTGTCGAGATCTTAAAATATCAGAAAAGCCAACAATGGAAGGACGGAGAGTGGAGTCCGTCTATGTTCTCTCTGTAGAGTCTGCCTATGTAGATAAGACTTGTAAGAACGAGACAGCAGATTTATGGCATGCACGGCTGGGACATGTTGGTTATCACAAGTTGAAGGTAATAATGGAGAAATCCATGCTCAGTGGCTTACCTCAACTTGAAGTTAAAACAGATGTTGTTTGTGCTGGATGTCAGTATGGTAAAGCTCATCAATTACCATACAAGGAGTCAAATTTTAGAGCAAAGCCACTAGAGTTAATTCACTAGGATGTGTTCGGTCCAGTCAAGCAGACATCAATTAGCGGGATGCAGTACATGGTGACGTTCATTGATGATTATTCGAGATATGTGTGGGTTTTCTTCATGAAAGAAAAATCTGAAACATTCTCAAAGTTTCTAGAATTCAAGACAACGGTCGAAGGAGAAGTGAGAAAGAAGATTCGGTGTCAACGCTCAGACAATGGAGGAGAATACACCTCGGAAGAATTCAATAGCTATCTAAAAGAATGTGGTATACGTCATCAATTCACATGTGCCAACACACCTCAACAAAATGGTGTAGCTGAGAGAAAGAATCGACATCTTGCAGAAATTTGTCGAAGCATGCTACACGCGAAGAATGTCCCAGGAAGATTTTGGCCTGAAGCAATGCGAACTGCTGCCCATGTGATCAATAAACTTCCCCAACCAAGGTTAGGTTTCATTTCACCATTTGAGACACTATGGAACATGAAACCTCCTGTTAGCTACTTTCGAGTATTTGGTTGTGTCTGCTACGTATTTGTACCTAGTCATTTACGTAGCAAGTTTGACAAGAAAGCAGTCAGGTGTATATTTGTTGGATATGACAATCAAAGAAAAGGATGGAGGTGTTGTGATCCAACAAGAGGAAGATGCTACACTTCAAGAGATGTAGTGTTCGATGAAGCATCTTCATGGTGGTCCTTAGAGAAGAAAGTATTACCAGACTCGAAAAATATTGAAGAAGTTTTAAAACAAAAGATGGGGGAGCAAACTGCACACATTTGGTCAAGTGTTGATACACCTGAAGATCCGAGCGACACTGATGTCATTGAGCAAGAAGTAACTCAAACAAGTAATGCCGGTGAAAGGGAGACGCCGCCTCCACAACTTTGAAGGACAGAAAGAATCCGAAAGCCTAATCCCAAGTATGCTAATGCGGCTATTTTAGAAGACGGTGTTAAAGAGCCGGAGACATATGAAGAAGCAATTAAGAATAAAGCTTGGCAGAAGGCAATGGAAGAAGAAGTTACAGCCTTAAAGCAGAATCAAATGTGGGAACTGGTACCAAGACCAAGAGATATAAAACCCATTTCCTGCAAGTGGGTTTATAAATTAAAGCGACACACAGATGGATAAATTGAAAGATACAAGGCTCGTTTGGTGGCTCGAGGGTTCTCACAACAATATGGATTGGACTATGATGAAACATTTAGTCCAGTGGCGAAGATAACTACTGTACGGTTGCTGGTAGCTCTTGCAGCTAGTAAAGACTGGAAATTATGGCAGATGGATGTGAAGAATGCTTTCCTGCATGGAGAATTAGATCGGGAGATCTACATGAACCAACCAAAGGGATTTGAGGATGCAGTTAATCCCACTCATGTGTGCAAGCTGAGAAAAGCTCTTTACGGATTGAAGCAGGCACCAAGAGCCTGGTATGGTAAGATTGCTGAATTTCTTACCCGAAGTGGTTATTCAGTTGCACATGCAGACTCAAGCCTGTTCGTCAAAGAAAAAGAAGGGAAGTTGGCAATTGTGTTGGTTTATGTGGATGACTTGATCATCACCGGGGATGACGAAAGAGAAATCCATCAAACAAGAGAAAATCTATCGGTGCGATTCCAAATGAAAGAGTTGGGGGAGCTTAAACACTTCTTGGGGTTAGAAGTTGATCGTACAAAGGAAGGGTTGTTCCTCTGCCAACAAAAGTATATAAGAGATATACTTCAAAAGTTTGGCATGTTGGAGTGTACGCCAGTATCAACACCAATAGAGCCAAATACCAAGATATGTGCTCATGAAGGAAAAGAGTTGGACGATGGAATGATGTATCGACAACTAGTAGGTAGTCTTATCTACCTAACTTTATCTCGGCCTGACATTGCTTATGCAGTTGGAGTTATGAGTCGATACATGCAAAATCCGAAGAAACCTCATTTGGATGCTGCCCGACGGATCTTAAGATATGTCAAAGGTACAATTGACTATGGTCTCTTGTATAAAAAAGGAGAAGACTGCAAGTTGGTTGGATATTGTGATGCTGACTATGCAGGAGACCATGATACCCGAAGATCAACCACTGGGTATGTGTTCAAGCTTTGGTCGGGGCCAATATCATGGTGTAGTAAAAGACAACCAACGGTATCATTGTCAACCACAGAAGCGGAGTACAAAGCAGCGGCCGTAGCAGCTCAAGAAAGTACATGGTTGGTACTCCTAATGGAGGACTTACATCAAAAAGTTGACTATGTGGTACCACTTCACTGGGATAACCAATCTGCAATTCGGCTGGCAGAAAATCCAGTATTTCATGCTAGAACAAAGCATGTGGAAGTGCATTATCACTTTATCAGAGAGAAAGTCTTGATTGAAGAAATTGAGATGCGACAGATCAAGACCGATGACCAAATAGCAGACTTGTTCACCAAAGGACTGAGTATTGGAAAATGTGAAGGTTTTCGCTGTCAGCTTAACATGGTACGAAGAATGAGGGCTACTGTTGAGGGGGAGTGTTAAAGATCATCACTAGCCCAATAGAACAAATATTATCTAGAAGACTTTAGCTTGTTCTAGAACGCTCTAGAAGATTCTAGAACATTATGGAAGACTATGGAAGACTCCGGAATATACCGGAAGAGTCTAGAATACTCTAGAACGACATGGAAGACCCTAGAAGGTTATGGATCATTCTAGAAGACACTGGAGCAACTTAGACCTCTCCAGAACATGGTAGAATATTCTAGAAACATATGGAAGCATATAGAGTATGTTAGATAGTTCTAGAGTTATCTAGTAGGTAGTAAGTGTATACTAGTATCTAGAACCTTACTAAGAGGCCTATAAATAGGTGTGGAGCTCATTTGCTCCAAACCATCCAAGAAAGCCTCAAATAGAGCAAAGTGTGTAGTAGTCTCACAAAGTGTAAGGTCTTCTTAAGTTTCTTAATAAAAGTCTTTTTGTTTCCCATACAAAGAGTCGTGTTCAACATTTGGTTTTAAAGAATATCAAAGGGATTGCTTTGCTAGACGATTATGCCCTCTGAAGTTGATTGCCTTAAGCCCTAAACTTGGCTCTGTTGCAATTTTAAAAATATTTTGGTGTCAGAGACATATTTCCTTATTTCTATTTTTGACAATAGATCCCAAGAGTATTTGTTTCGGTTTTAAAATTATATTACAAATACCTGCAGATAATAATATTTTTGTTTTCTACTTTTTCTATTATATTGACATTTTAGATAATGACATTATTTGAATGTATATTTTTTTCCTAATTCACATTTCATAGTTTTATTTGAAAAAATAGTTTTTTTTCTTTTTATTTTATTTTTGCAAATCAATTAAATCAGGGTTAACTTTAACGGACATGTTGTAATTGTTAATGTTAACTATTGATACGGTAATTGAGTTTTTTGATTCAAAGAATTAAAAGTTGTCCAAAAGCGGAAAAAAAAACTGTAACACTGATTCTCGGGGCAGCCATACATACAGGTGGTAGCATTGGATTTGAGGAGCACTGTCTTAAATTGGTAAGTAATCATAATTATAGATTTTAGTGATATATTTTTCTTTCAACACTAATTACATCAATTATGTTGTGTCGTTTATATAGAAAGAGTTGACGGGTGAAGACCCCTCATTCATTGATCTTTATTATAAGACACATCTTACCGCCAAATCAAAGAAAATATATTTTGGGGGAGATAAAGAGGCGCCAGTGGATTTTGTGAATGAGACATCTAGGGTGGCGATCGTAAGTTGTCTTTATCTTTTTATATATTTAATAATATTAGTTTTTACTTTTTAGTACAATGACAAAGCGTTCTTTTGGTACACTGTAGGAATCATATAACAAAGCCCTATCTCAAAAATACGGTGATGATCCGACTTAACATAATGTGAATGATCCTGAATTGTGGACCCAAACACAGTTGCTTAGGAAAGGCGGGAAACAAAAAGTTCCTATCTATGGGGCAGGATACTCGGATCTTCACTTTCTGATGACGGGTGCATATTCTTATGAGTCAACTTCAGCTTCTGCTGACTTTGCAAAGTCACAACAGGAGGTACAATTATTTGCATAATATATTATAGAGAAAAAAATCAAGTAAAGATGTACCTAATATGGCAGAAAAAAATATGTTGATATTGGTAAGGTACATTGTTGTTACGGGTGAAAATTGAAATATGTTGCCATTATTAATATTAGGTAAAGTACATTTTTATCATGGTTGAAAATGATACTATGTTGCTAACTTGCTATTATTAAATTAGGTAAATAATAATGCTATAATGGGTGAAAATTATAGTATGTTGCTACTATTGATATTAGGTAAAGTAAATTGTTGTTATTGATAATAATTTAAGTACATTGATATTATGGATTGGAAATGTAAAGTATAATGATATAATGGATAAAAATATAGTATGTTATTATTATGCATATTAAAAGTTATTATTATGGATATTAAAAACAATGTACATTTTTATTATGAGTAGTGTGTTTTTATATTGAATTAAAAGTAAAGTACATTGCTATCATGGTTTAAAGTTGAATTACATTTACTAACTGCATGTGTTTGTCTTGCTATATTTAGGTAAATGAGTTGTGACAACAAATTTCAAACATGCAACAAGCCATGGATGAAAAGCAAAGTGAAATGAATTTGCAAATGCAACAAATGCGAAATGAAATGGAATTGCAAGTGCAACGACAATTGGCGGCCTTTATGAAACAAATCAATCCGTCTGGTAATCCACCAAGTAGTTCTTAGTTTTTGTTTTAAAACACTTAATGAATGTTATGTTATTGACTAGTTCTTAGCTTTTGTGATGGTATTGTAATGGTATTTTGAGTATTTGAATGTATGAATGGTATGTTATTGACTATTTTAATGTTAATGAATGTAATAGTATTTGACTATTATTTTAATTATTTATTTGGTTTTTTTAGCAGAAAATTTGGATATTTTTTAAATTATAAATTTAATAGAGCAAATTACAGGAAATAAATATTTTGTGGGAATTATAAATTTAATATAGCAATAAAAAATGGTAAAAAAATCATAGAAAATTTGTAGGAAATAAATATTATGTAGGTATTTTGTAGCAAAAACTGTTGGTAGGTATTATGTAGGAAAAGTAGTTGGTAGGTATTCTGTAGGAAAATCAGCTTGTTGATATTCTGTAGGAAAATCAGTTTGTAGGTATTCCGTAGGAAAATAATCCGTGTGTATTTTGTAGGTGTTTCGTAGGTAAATAACTCGTAGATAATCTGTATGTACTCTGTAGTTATCGTGTTCCGTAGGTATTCCGTAGTTAAATTTGTAACAGAATATTCCGTAGGAAATGCGTAGGAAGGTTTGTAGCTAATTTGTAGGAAAAAATTACCCACGAGGGTTTTCCCTACAACCAGTTTTTTGTAGGAAATCTGTAGTTAACGCCTTGTTCCTATGGATTTCCTACCAATTCTACTGTAGGTAATTACTTAGTTTTCTAGTAGTGTATATACTTCTAATAATAATATTTATATATTCCCATTCTTGTATATATTTATTGGACCCAAAAAATTCAATGGTAGGTACCTGCCAAAAACTACACCAAAATAATCACCACATACCAAAGGGCTTTTAGCCTAACGGTATCAGGTGGTGTCCTCCCTTTTTGAGGTCGAGGGTTCAAGTCTCGTGGTGGACATAGGTGGAATAGGTGTTAGTTTATGAGTAGATTATATTATATTTGCCTGTTCAAAAAAAAATCACCACATTCATTTTAAAGGAACCCAAAGCATTGAGTATAGGTACACCAGTAATGACATGTTCGATTCCTTTAAACTTTGTACAACTAGTAGATATTCGTACAGCTAGTAGATAATCTATTTCGTTAATAACTGGTCAGGTACTTCACCCGACATTGCAATTATTTATTCTTTTTGTTATAGACAAAACTGCACAAATGGTCCCTCTGGTTAGCTGAAAATTGTTACTTTGGTCCAAATAAGTTTGGACTAGCACCAGAGGTCCAAAGTTTTCATTTTGTTGCGAGTTTGCTCCAATTTGTTTTAGAAAATTTTAAAATGGCGATTTTTCCCTTGGTATTTTCTTTTTCTATTTTTTTATATTTATTTGAAAAAAATAAAACTCTCTCTCTCTCTCTCTCTCTCTCTCTCTCTCTCTCTCTCTGCAGTTTTGAATCCATTGCCTTTGTGGTTTTGTTATCGTCAGCCACCACCTCCAATCTCCGATCTCCGTTGCTGCCTCCAACATCCAAGTTCTTATTTTCTTCTAACGTCCTTACGTTTTAGTTCCTGAAAATATGAATCAGGTACTCGACCGGTTAAACCCCCAATTGTATTTGCTGAAAAACAAATTGAAAATCAGCTGAGTTATTTCCATATTTCCCGTAACACTAGCAAGCATTACGTGTGTTCATTTTCACCTGATTGTTCATGTTTGTTCATCTTCATCTGGTGTATAAATTTGGGGTTGATTTTTGAATGTAGAGAACTTCATGACTTGGTACAGAAATCGTATTCGATAGGGAAGAACTTATTCTTGGATGGATATAGTCCGATTGTAAGTTTCAATTTTTAGAATTCAAACCAAGAATTGAAAACAATTTTCTTATATCGGTTGTTGTTTCTTGTTCATGAAGGTTACAATATTTAGAATTTAACCGATTCAAGTTCAAAACCATTGAACCCTAACAATGTTTGTGGTCGATGCAGTCGGCGGTGGCGGTAGGGCTGGAAGATCGCCGTGAATGGAGTCTAAGAACAGGACAAAGCTCTGGTCGTTACTACAGCGGTTAGAGCCTTAATTTGGTAATTCTATCAATTAATTTGCTAGGGTTCTTCAGTTGAAGCTTTCACTTAATTCTATGATTCTATCAACATATTTTAATTCGTTCGAGCCTAATTTGTTATTGGCGTCAAGATCTCACTGTGTGCAATCTAGGGTTTCAGGAAACATCAAGTTTGGGGTATCAGATCCAGCGAATTGGAGGCATGGTATGAAAATTTCATCTAATACATGAGCAAATTCACTCTAGGAATAAAAATCGATTGATATTACAAGAATAATGGGTTGAATTGATGATTCCTAACAATTAATTCCATGCCTTGTATGTATGTGTTCATATGCTTAGAGAGAGAGAGAGAGAGAGAGCGAGAGAGAGAGAGAGAGAGCTTATTTTTATGTAGGATAATACAGGGGAATTGTGTGCGTGGTAATTGTGTTTGGAGGGAGATACATACATACATACTTGTAATGTATGGGAATCATCATTTTTAAAATACATTGGTGAATATTCGCTTACTATTACTATTCATTATTGGTGTACAGAAGCTTAGTTATACATTTTATCACTTGCTTCCTGGTTATCAGAACCTGCATTGCCTTTCTTTACGGGATGGTTCAGTCACACAATTCCTACATTTGTCTCCCTAACTGGAGTTCTTAAATGTAAACAAACTTTTCACTTTTCCTTGAGACACCAATTCATATTTAGCGATGCCTTGGGGAATCAAATGGTCGCCCATTTGCAATGTTGAGAGCCAATGCTTCTCTTAGCGATGCCTTGTCTTTACTGGTTCAAGGTAATTATTATTATTATTATTAATAAATTATGTTGTAATGTCATGATTAAATTAAATATATGTGATATTGTGTTGTTTGTTTTTATGATTTACTACTTATTTTTCAAAACAACGGAAGTGAGTGCAGTTCCTATAGTGGATGAGAATGACTCATTGTTGGATATATACTCCAGAAGGTAAATATTTAAAACTCTACTTACTTCACTGTAATATACATGAATTTTTGTTAAAACTTAAAAATATGTTTTTTTGTTTTTGGCATTTGACCTTGACAGTGATATCACTGCTTTGCTAAAGACAGAGCATATACCTAAATTCACCTTAATGAACTCAACATTCATCAAGTACGTTTTATTTTAATGTCATCTCATCTGTCTGATTCCCAATTTGTAGTTTTTTGTAAGTTGTAATTTAATACAAGTGTTTACTTTCAATCAATGTCAAAAATTCCCTTTAAGAATGATAAAATAGGAAAATCATGGACTTAAGGAAATGTTGCCATTTTCATGTGACATCTCAAGGTTCAACTTGATGAACCTTGCGACATGGATGGGTATATCATCATAGTTCCATATGCAGAAAGTGAGGCATATAAAGTATTTACCTGTCGATATTAAAGTTATCATGGATGGGCTTAATGCTACCATAAAAATATAGTCACTTGATGAACCTTGAGACATGGTCACCTGTGGAACACATATTGTCCCTGGACCCACCGAATGTATGTGACATATTTAGAAAACTTGCATCATTTCTTTGTTTTCTGAACAATTTCTTTTGCCATGCATTATATTCAAGTTATCAAGTCTTTATTTGTGAAGGTGAACTTATTCAGAGGAGTCACCTTAAAAGGAGCTCCAAAATCTGCTAAAGTGAATGGAGGGCAGTTTATGGGACAAGTATGAATATATCTATGTTTCAATTTCGATTTGCTAGCATTACACATAGTTTTTGGTGATTATGATAAAATATATGAATACAACTTGTTCAATATTGGATTTGATAGAATTATACATAGCATTACACATACTTTGCTTCAAATGTTGGATGATGGAAGGTTGACCGATGGTGATCACCCAGAGAGTGGTATTAAATATTAATATTATTTCCAACTTATTATTAATATTATATCCATGCTTTTAAAGCTCAGACACCTGTTCTCTCTAGGTTCATTTTTATTTTTTTAAATCATTTAATCAATTTCCATAACACTGAATCATTAATCACTTCTAATGTTGTTCTTTTACTGGTGGTTGGAATTGGGCCTAAAGTTGGTTACTGATATAGGAATAATGG